CATATACAATATTTTGCTAACAGACTGAGTCTAAAGCTTACAGGTACCGGGCAAAACGTCAGCATCCTCATGATGCATGAACTGGATGTGTTCTTGTACTGCATTGTGAAGCTAGTTAGTCCCATTAAGGGGTCACAAAATGATTAATAAGTTAGGATTGAGATTTCTGCTACTTTTATTGTGAAATTCTACAGGATTACTTCTTAAAATTAAAAACAATTCAAATGACACAATCAAATGAAAACATACTTTTTTAAAACTATTCATAACTCACTGACAAAGGTCAAAAAGGTTGGAAACACTTTTCCAGGGTGTGATTTTTATTTTATTTTAATTTTTTCCACAGCTTGCTGGAACTACAGGTGTTAGCATCTTTCACCTTCAATTTAGTTGTGGAAAACTGAAATGAAGCTCCTTAAAGGAGCTATTGCTGAGGCTAGTGCTACATAGTTACCAGTCTAGAAGAAACATGAGTCCAGCATCAAACTTCATTCCTTTACTCGCTAACCAGTAAGCCTCGGTCCATCTCGTCACTTTCTGATAGCAACTCACTGTAGCCTCCAATCTGCCCTGAAGACGTAGCACTGCTCAGAGGATGTAATGTAACCTCTCGTCTTGTCAGGCAACAATCGCCACCACCCGCTCCCAGCAAGAAACTATGTTCGGTGGAGGGGAAATTTTTACAAATTGTAAAGTCTGTCTCCATCTACATCACTCACATTGTGCAGAGATTGGTTTTCATCCAGAGGTCACTCCTGCTCACCTGTTTCTCTAGATTTCCTCTTGAAGAACAATGCAGTTGTATGGTTGTGGGTGATACTCTTTTTGGGGAAAGTAAAGTAAAATGGATCTTTGTTTAAATGCAAATAAAGTTACCCAAACAATACCCAAATTTAATCCAAATCCCTAATTAAAGTCTTCAAAGCTGCCAAAGACTCTGGATATTATTAGAATGTGGATGTCAAAAATAGCTTGGTTTGAGGAAGATAAAATAACACATACGGTACACTGTATGTGTGTGAAGGGCCAGAGTTTGACATTAGTAGTGTGGTCCCGGAGCACGTTGGTTGACTATCATGGCCTTAGCTGACTTTCTTTCCAAAATATTTGAGGACAGTACAAGCTGTGCATGTCTGAGTGTGTGTGCGCCTGTCTATCTCAGCGCTGGAGGGAGTGAGTCAATCACAGCAGCAGAAATCATCCCTGCGGGCGATCTGTCTCCACTCATGACAAGGCTCCTAAGGCACTTATCTTTCCTTCTCTGACTCATTCCATCTATCCATCCCTCCCTCAGTCCTCCCTCTATCTGCTCCTCCACCTCTCCCCATTCTCTCCTCCTATTCTCTATCACTCTGCCTCCCTCCCACGGTTTGTCTCGTGCCCTGGCACTGCAATTAACTTCTCATCATCAAAGGGTGTAATGAAAAAGAAGGCGAGATAGAGAGTTAGACAGAGGTAGGGAAGCTGTGAGAGAGGGAAGATAAGAGGGATGAAGCCAGAGGAGCTGTGACTGAACAGAGGTGAAGCAGTGCCTCACATACACACTCACACGCACTCGCTTACACTTGTACACACTCACAGGTTCTCTTTTTTTTCCTCAAAATACACACTCTGTTAAACACAATCACACACACACACATAACTCGCACTCGCTCTCAGTCACTCTCACATTCCTGCGAGTTGCAGACAGAAATAGAGAAAGAGAGGGATGATATCCCCCCAGGAGATTTTTCTCTCCTCATTCCTTGTTTTTATTTCTCAACCCGTTTCTCCCTTCCTCTTTCACAGACGCACACACACTTGTTCACAGTCTCCCCCCTCCTCCTCCTTTTCTTTGAAGAACAAGAAGTATTGCTGTACATGCAGGGAAGCTGCTCTGTCGGTATTCTCGTTGTTGTTTTTTTTTTTTTTTTTTTTTTCCCCCCCCCCCAGTTCAGAGAGCTGTCAACTGTGACCGCTGTTGAAAGGATGTCAGCGAGAGAGACAGAGGGAGAGGGAGAGAGACACAAGGAGAGAGAGAGAGAGAGAGATTGAGACTGGGGGATGAAAGAGACAGTGAAAGAGGGAGGGGGAGATGTCGAGATGGTTGGTCCCTACGGAGGGCAGAGGGAGTGATGGCATGCTTGTTTCTTTGTGCCCAAGCAAACGTAGCAACAGCAGCAGTGAGGGGAGGTGATGGAGAGGAAAATAGCTGAGGGTAAAAAAGCAGCTCAGGGGGGAAATGAGAAGGGCCAAAGCTGCTAATTAACCATGGCACTAGCGCTCAATAACAGTGACATAATTGGCCCTAGTTGGTGGTCCTCAGTGGGGGAGCCCTCAGCAGAGGAATCTAGCGCACACAAGTACAATGACAACACGCCATAAAATGTGAATAGTCCATAATGTAACACAGTGGATTATGACCAAAACTGTAATAGCTGAGTAACAGGCTCCGGGCAGTGAGAGGACAATCATACCTCCTGCAGCTGGATCCTCCCTGTAGTTCAGCCATATGCAGAATTTGTTAGTAAATATTGGAAGTACACTGTATTGTCTTTTCTTTTTTCCCCAAGTATCACATCTGTACTTTCAGGGAGCTACAGTCCATGTCACTGTTAACTCACTCTGTTGGCCTGAGGCAAGTGTAGAAAATCACATGTTCTCTGATACACATGGAGTCACCATCTGATCCTCTTCACCTGTCGTACGTCGACTCATATTGTTTCCAGATCCCACTCCCTTTGCACAGGTCCCTCCTCAACCAGTAGCAGTCGGTGTTTACATGTGGCCTCTGACATGCAAACACTGTCAGTTGGCAGTGTTAATTCAATTCAGTTTAATTTTATTTATATCAGATCATAACATACATTATCTCAAGGCACTTTGCCATCTGTGGGTGTGTGTAGTCCTTTATGGGCAAAGTTGCAGATCAATGAGTTTGGCTTCTTTATGGCACTATTTGATTTTCATATAATTTTTACAAGTGTTTAATTTTCTGGACGGGCCAAAAATAAGCATTCTCATCTTGTTATTTTACCTCTATTCAGTTTCCCAATTTAACTACCTGAAAATGTACTATATACCAATATATAACTATATGTACATATACAGACATATCACCAAGTCCTACATGTTGAATTTTGGACTGCTCATACCATGTTTACCCAGTGTGAGCAACATGTTAGCAGCAGCAGTCCTTATGCTCCGTGTACGTTTATACAGGAAGTGTTTAAGCACAGTATTGAAACAAAAATACACAAAAAATGTAGTTATGCACATAAAACAAGAAAAAAAACTTGGAGCATAAAGACGTAAAGGTTTGAGTTTATGTGCGTATTGCGCGAGTAAAACGCAAGCCTGTGTGGACAGCTTGATTGACTAAAACAGAAAACACGGCTGAAACACTTTCTGCGTAGACATGCCATTAGTCTGTCCCTGGGGTGGTTTGTCACAGGGACATGCACCTTCACTACGACACACTGCCGATTAACGGGGGGCTCTTGTTCATGAGTTAGGATAAGATGGGGTGCAAAATTGACAAAATAGACAGATTAGTGCTTCAGCTGCAGTGATGCAGAAATAGTACCGGGCTGTTGTAGTTGACTGCTGATCTTAAAGCATGTCTGATAAATCCTTAAAAGATACAAAATGTAAAGCTGTTCCATGTAATCCATTACTCCCTGCGGCTGGTAGATAGTTTCAGTGAGAGCAGCACAGTCTGAGGTGTTTCAGTGGTTTTAGGTGTGTCTGATTAGTCTGTTAAAAGCAAACACTAGAAAAGCAGGCTACAGAAATAAAACTGTGCATCCAAGCAAAGCAGGGAGCTTATTGAAGCGGACATTTTAATCAGCTACCCAACAGGGGTAAGGCTGAGATGGTGTCGCCTCAGTTTGGTCTGTCAAGATGGGTTGTGGGCGATGACATCTCCTCATGCGGGCAGGTGGAGGAGGGGCAGGAGAAGCTTTGAGCAGGAAAGGTGGTGAGAAGGAGGTCCAGCCGCTTATGCCTCAAACAGCTGGCTTTGCATTCTGCATGAAGGGGAGGAAACAACAGCGAACCAAATGACAGCCATTCACTGTGATCAAAAGGACGATATAGTTACAGACTTTGGCTCTCAGGCCCCTCGGTGTCTTGATAGTAAGGCTCTGCTGTCAGATTTAAAAAACCTCAGTTGGTGGGTTAGTACTGCTCACTGCCAAGTAATGTGTCGAACTCATGTTTCTTCTTATCTGCATCACTTTAATTTAAAACATAATGCAATATGGCTTCAAATATTTGCATTGTTTAGGAACTGACAAAAATCAACATTCATTCAAATCAAACGGGCACTTTGTCTGTTGGATACCTCTTGTCAAGTTGTTTGCCTTTTGCACGGGACCCACTGGCACAGTGAGTGCACATTTCCTCTGCTTCCCAGATTTCCATGCTGTTGACATAGCGTCCCAGAGTACTTCCATGTGTGGGATCCATTTCACTGAACAAATTGGTGTCAAACATCTCGCTAACTCTCCTACCACCTAATCAATAGGGAATTCATGGTGTGAGTGGGTGTCATCTCTCCATCTGTGCCCCACTTGTTACGTATCACAGAGTTGCCAGCCATCTGCCAATTTTTAGTGCTCACCATTATCGTAGTTCAGTTTTGTCACACAGCTTGCACAGAAGCTGGTTACTCCTCCACGCAACACCAGCGTGTTTGCCAGAATCATAGACAAACTTGTTAACATTTACCACATCATTAGGAAGGCATATGCAAAATGCTTGTGAAATTTATGGAGATGACGTGTTCGCTGTTAATCTGCACAAATAGTCTACTGTTGCTGGTGCTGAATTTACTAATGATAAACTTATTAATTGACAGAACATTGAGGAATGCACTGTATGAACAAAAGTAACCTCATTTTATCATTCTGTTTCCACATCTTTTGAGGTGGATATATATTTCTTTGATGAGAAATACAGCTGATTTCAGTACTTTGTTGTCCACTTGATCATATGATTTCCATTCTGTTTCTTTCCAGACCGAAATTGGAGAGAGAGATGACCCTCGTTTTGTCCATGAATCCTTTCCTGGACCCAGAAGGAGACCCACCGCTCTCCGCATATCAGCCCATATGGGAATCAGAGCGCTGCACTAAGACTTGCCTGTCAAACTCTGCCCCACCATGCAGTTCTGAAGAGCAAATTACACAAGGTACGCACGCCAACACAGATGTTCATTCAGTCATTTATTTAAGCTTGACTTAATCAGATGCTGTTCCACAAAAAAAGATCAGACTGTGGTAGCTGAATAGATTGAAATAAGTCAGCTGTACAGAAGTACCAAACAGTCCTGGTGGTGACTTGATATATGATATGGATTCTTCTTATAATTCAATCTATGGCCCTCTGGCTTCAAAATAAGAAGCTTTTTTGTATGTTTAAATTATGAAAAAATACAGCAATATTTAGTCTCATGTCCAAGATGTGGTAACATTAAATAGTCCCATAGTGCAGTTGATTTATGGTAGTGCTTTCTCTCTCTGCAGAACCTCCCTGTAGGCGAGTTCCTGATCATGTTTCAGTGTCAAGGATTGCATACTTCAAGAGGAAGTTCGTTGATGATGATGATGAGCCTTCCTTCAGTTTCAGGACATACTGCCAGACTGTAAGTATTAATACACTGATATTCCCAGTTCAGAGCATACAGTGCTAAATGACTTTATTTAGGGTTTCTGTGGCTGAATTTTAGACCTTAAAATGTCTTAAATACAATTTTGACAAGTCTTAACAATTGATTGGTTATGATATTTAATATTTGAATTGATTATGAAGTTAATGTTGCTGTCATAATGTTGCATTAACATGCGTTTTTGGGAAAAATTTGTATTGATCACACTGTAACAAAACTACAAAACAAAACCAACATGGAGCCAATAACCACTAATGCGAACTGTGCAGCCCAGTCAGAATTTATTGGAGCATACACAGCTAGTGTGTCGTGATGTGGTGTGTGGGCTGATGTGGTGTCTCCTCCCATCAAAAAAAAAAAAAATTCTGGGAGTAATAAGTTTGAATGATATATTGTATTAGACTGTACTTCTGCAAACAGGGAAGATCATTAAAAAAATCTCTTTTGGTCGAATTGTATGCTGAAGAAATCTCTGTTTGCCCATATAACAGTTATTGTTAAGTGAAGACATGCAAATCAAGAGAGATCATAATTCACTTTATAGTGTGCTTGACATTTCAGATGCTTATGAAACATCATAATCAATGTGTCTTAATGACGTACTTTTGCATGACTGAAGCATAGTATCTATGCTTACTCACCTGCACAGCTCTCTTTTAGAGGGCTCGTTTGCATTTTGATTTGCAACAATATCTTAGTTAAAAAGATGAAAATTGGTGGCATAATCTAATCTCATTGAATCAGTATCTCTTTTTTTAAATAATTGACCAAGTTACACAGATCTAATGGAATGCTGTCCTTCAGGTTGCACCAGTTTTGGAGGAGCGTGCCCACGTGCTGCGTCTCTCCCTGGAGAAGATGAGATTCATTGACGACCCTGAGGCCTTCCTCCGACGCTCCGTTCTTGTTAACAACCTCCTTCGGCGTCTGCGAGCTGAGATCCTGCTCCAGAGCACTGACTGGTGCTTCCCACCAAACACAGCATTCGCCCCTGGCCCTTGCGTCCTCCCAGCCAGCACTAACCCTGCTCACCAGGCACTCCACGGAGCAGTACCAACCCGGATCTGCTTAGCACCACAGGCCGGACCGCCTTTCCGTAAGCGCTTCCGTATGGTCCGTGGAGGACAGGGGGATCTTCGCCCTGACTGTGCCCAGACTTGCTGCTGCATCTACGCAGCGGCAGCTGCTGCAGGACACTACCTCCACCTCCCGTTCTCCATGTATGATGCAGCACTCTCTACCTGCCCATCCACACCACACTCCTCCTCGTTTTTTCAGCTAGCTAGCCATAGTAAGTTAGGGTTGACAGTGGCCGTAGAAGAGCGTGATGATGAGGATGAAGATGTTGAAGAGGAGGAGGAAAATGAAGAAGAAGATGAGAGGGAAGAGGAGGAGGAGGAGGAGGAAGATGATGAAAGACAAGCAGGGCCATCTATTGATGTTGTTAAAGACAAGTCAAGCCAGAAAAGTAGGACTAGGACCTTGCTGGGTCATGCACACACAAGGACAGAGGAGGACAGCTGCATGACAGGTAGAGTAGAAGAGGAGGAGGAGGGAGAGCAGGAGGAAGAAGAAGAGGAGGAAGACGAGGAGGAAGAGGAGCAGGTTGTGAGACCTTGTCAGTGGGCGTCAGACAGAGAGCTCCACAAGGTTAGCTTCTGGCACCGCAGGGCTCATAGACAATGATTGTGCTTTCTGAGAAATTACTTAAATTCTGTTTGAATGAAAATGTATTGATGACGACAACTGTCATCAGTTGAAGATTATTCAGATGAAGGTGTGAGTTAACTACACTATTGTAATGCCAAGTCAGCTTTATTTTAATGGTCTAATATACTCTACACAGACAAACTCAATTCAACTCTATTGCTAGTGTTACATTCAGATGAAAAATAGAAAATTCTTGGCCTCTCTTGGCACTGGAAACATTTCTCAAGCAATTATGAAGGCTAAGGTCACATGTGGTGGGATCTGAAATCCCAGAGGTGAAGTGAAGCTTGCTATTGCACTGTCTCCAAGACCATTTTGAAGCCCCACAGCACAAAACTAAAAGTCTCAAATGGGGCTTTATATTGGTGCAACGGTCTCGTTTCAGGACCCTAAACAAGCCTATGAAATAAAGGGATGTGGATTTGCGAGTGGATGCTTCTGTGTGTTTATGTGTGCGTGTGTTTGCAAGATATGATGTAGCATTTTAAAACTTGATTTTAGGCTGTTCTTTTTATTATTAAACATGGGTTACACATTATTATGTGTGCCTGTTGATTTTGATGCTGTCTCAGGCAATGGCGAGTGACTGTGCTGCAGCGGCGGCACATTATGTGTTCTTCAAATTATTTTAAGAGACAACAATCATAAACATTGGAAATGTTAAATCGCAATTTCAAGTGCCTTAGTGTTTTTATAGATACATGTATATTGTGTGTTAATGTAATTGTTCTTGTTACTAAGTAGCTATCTTTCATTCCAAATGACTGCGTTTGACTAAAACAGGGCATGTAGTTAAATGCAGGGATTCATTCAAATGTTAAAAGGTTAAAGTAATTTTAAATCAAACTAAATTTCCACACCCGAAAAGTGTTCTGTTTGTTTTTAGATCAAAATGCATGTTTTCTAGCACTACCTGTCTTGACAATGCTCAAACGTAAAGCCAACCTTAAAGGACAGTTGCAAAAGCCTTGAAAAGCAAAGTCAAAACATCATTTATATTTGTTTGATTCCAGCAGAAAAGGCTTGTTATAGTTCGGTAGGTCTGTCCATCGATGTTTATTTACAAGAAATTATTTGAATCTAACAGCATGAAACAGGATCTCATACTATGAATTAAAGATTAAATGTCAGCATTATAATTAGATACTGTAAATACATATACACCAATGTGTGTTTTGCTGTTATCCGCCCAATCATATTTTATCAAATCAAACAAGCAAATGTTTCATCATCAAGCAAGAAACTCTTTTCTTTTATTTGAATCAAGAACTTTCAATATTAGCTGGAGCCTAACGGCTCTGGCCAATGTCATTCAAAAAATGAATCTGTGCAGACCCCAGTGTTTTCCATACATTTTTTTATTTAAGGTGACCCACCACAATATCAACATTGACTGCCACATATGGATTTTCTATTTTATTTACTATTTCTATGGGTAAGAGTATTGGTAACATCTTATTAAACCGAAGAGCTGCGCACACCACATCACTTCGCTCAGCCCCTCCTTGCCACGATCTCACTCTCTATCTCACAAACACATCTGTCATAGTCTGGCCATCGGGAGTGCCGGGAGGAGCACCACTGCATTGGTGGGCCATGAAAAAATTCATAGAGTTCTTACCATCTCTGCCTGTGTCTTTACCGGCCCTCTTTGTGTGTCTGTCATACAGGAATCTTTGGGAAACACTGGACCCCATTAGCTTTGTATCACACCCCGAGCCTGGTTGCACAGGTAGCAGCTTGTCTCAGAAAAAGTCAAAATTAGCCTCATTCAGCAACTTTTTTTTTATCATGATCAGCAACATGCTTAAAGGAATATTTCAACATTTTGGGAAATAGGCTTATTTTCTTTCTTGCCAAGAGTTAAGTCAGAATATGGTTATCCCTTTCATGTCTGTACAGTAAATATGAAGCTGGAGCCAGGAGATGATTAGCTTAGAGGAAGAAATAGCTAGCCTGGCTCTGTCCTGAGGTAATAAAATTTGCCTACCAGCACCTCTAATCATCTCCCCTAACTCACCCTAAGAAAGCAAATAAAAATAGTTCCCAAAATGTTGAACTATTCCTTTAACTATCACAGTATGCCCTGCCTTTGTAGAGTCACACCTGTGTGCGTTGCCCGAAGTTCCTGTCATTATAAGCGTCTAGAATCAAGCTTGGTAGAGTGAAATCACATTGGTTGTAGAAAAGTATCAGCCTGTTTGGGTATAAATTGATGAGTATATACTGTATGTCATTTTAAAATAAAATAAATAAGATGTACGACACCTTAGAGGAGCTGATGGACAGATACATTTTCTACGTGATTAAAAGAATCAAGGACAGATAGAATACCAAACCAGTTCTACTCTACTTATGTGAGCCCTTCTGTCATGATGGCATGATCAGTGGTTTCTTATTTGTTGGTGTGTCTCTTGTTTGGCACTTCTGAAAATTAGGGTCCTCACACTGATGACAAACCCAAACCAAAGTTGTTTTAAAAAAAATGGAAATAAATTTTCGTCAGTAGTGATTATTATTATTATTTTTTTTGTGATGTACTTAAGTCATTGGATGATCTCAGTTGGTTTGCGAGGTGGAATTATTCCTGCCTTTTCCTATCTTTTTTTTGACGTACAAAACTGACAGTTTGCATCCCCAATGGCATTAGTGTCATATCTTCAACAAGACGAGTACCAGCCTATTTAATTTTAATTCTCAAAACCCTGTGATTATCGGTGGTATTTTTCAAAAATGAAAGAATTTGACAAAGCAATATTTGTTTCTGAGACAAGAACATGTAAAACTACATTGTCTGTTATTAAAAACAACAAAAGAGCAAGTCTGCTCTGATAATTTTATGTGATGTTCTGTGACAAGTGTAAAGATCAGTAAAAGAAATGTTGAAAAAATATTGCTTCCTCTTTTATTCCTTCACATAACAACCATGCTGATTCTTGCAGCTTTCAAATACAACACAATGAGATGTGTGTATGTGTTAATGTAGGTGTGTGAATTCCTCTTCATTGTCTTGCCTCCCTTCCTGTCTGCTGTTCAGTGGAGTGCGGCACTGCAGCTTATTGCACGCGCCAAATGTCTCTCAGGTGTCACTTTGCTGCTCGATTCTTGTTAATCTTTTTGACATTACGCTCAGAGCAGTCACCTCCGCACTGCTCCCTGCACTCTCTGTCTTATCTATTGTCCCTGCAATATTCACTTTTGTTGCAACATAAAACAGACCCTTCTACCTGTATCCCATATAACCTCTAGATATGTACTCTTTGTACTCTTCTATACTCTGTCTACCAGCATAATGCAGTCTATGCTTACACTGTCACTGCGCCATCACTCGGCTTTAGGTTAAATGGTCTTTTGTTCCAGTAACAGTGCTCACTATGTGTGCCCTAATTACTGGATTATTTTCTAATACTGCACCGTTTTTGTGTGACATTGCTTCGGATTGCTTGAAAGCAGCTAAGCCATTGTAGATACATTGTGTGTGTGTGTGTGTGTCTGTGTGTCTGTGTGTGTTGGGAGTATGTAACAGTGTGAAGTGGAGAGGTTAAATCACGGGTCTGAACATCTTGACAGCTCTGTTGCGAGGTGAGGATGGAAGATCATCTTTTCATGACACCTCTGCCGCAGGGCTGTGTGTATCCTGCCGCTCAGCCTGCCCCCGTCTCTCTCTCTCTCTCTCTCTGCTTCTACCTCACATCCCACAGTATCACTGACTCAATTTTCATTAGTCTTACTATTACCTGACTGACCTTTTAACAGATATACTATTGTAAAAGCAGCATAAAGTATATAATCACGATTTCCAAATGAAAAATCTTCTTAGCCAATTTAGATGATTATATACCAAAGATGAAAATTCAAAGTGACTCCTTTAAACAGGTATCTGTAATTATTACTTGTGGTACCAGTGGTACCTAACCTTTTGTTGTCAGCTGCACCACCACAGCCCTGTCAGACCAGATGTAACGTTACATGTCATTTTACACTGTTGATTATGTTATAATGTAGTTATATATTTTTATGATCCATGGTCTAGTAATTTTCAGGTCAGTTTTGAAAATTTTTGATTGGGGTGCATGGTACTTTATTCACCAATTATCCAATACTTTTAGCTAACTATTTCAGCAATTTAGCTAACTAGGTTACTTCATATATTTATCCTATAGCTTTAGCTACTTTTAGCTATTCTACTATTTATAGCTATTACTTCACTATTTCAAGCATTTAGCCATTACATCAACCTAACTATTGAATTTTTTTCTATTTGTTCATTTTTTTTTTTTTATTGTTCATTTTTTAGCTATTTCATCTTATATCCATTAAATTTAGCTTAAATGGATGTTTGAAGTCTTGGTTTTAGGGTTAGAGTCAGCCTTAGATTTAGATTTAGGTTTGGGCTACAGTTAGACGCTCAGTGTTGATGGTCAAGGTTATAGTAAGTGGCTATGTCAAGACAAGCATGTGTGTATGTGTATGGATACTGTATGCATGTCTGCATACGGAAAACAATGCTCTTTCTCTCTCTGTGTCTGTCTCTGTCCCTTCACCCCCTCTTCCCCCCATACCTAAGGCTAAGATGGGGACTTGCCAAATAACACACACACACACACACACACACATACAGACATTGCCGGGCGAGTGCTGAGGAGAGGGGAGCTGTCATTTGTCAACAAGGAACTTTGGCAGCTCACCGTTGCCATGGGAACTGTCTGTTGCTGAGGACTGGTTTTGCATCACAAGGTCCTCAAATTGGCTCCAAAGCCTCAGAGGTCCCACCCCTCCTCCACCCGGCTCACCTCCGTCTCTCCCTGCCTCAAACATATTGTCAGAATTTTCCTTTTTCTTTTTTTTCCCCCAGTTTTTTTTCCCCTTGTTCTGCTGTTTCCCACCTCCGAGACACAATTCCTCTGTTTGAGAGATTTGTATGTGCTGTTTGATTTACAACAGCAACATGGTAGATCGATAGATAGATAGATAGATAGATAGATAGATAGATAGATAGATAGATAGATAGATAGATAGATACCCCTTAACCTATCTCTAAGGCTGAGCCCAGCCACCCTATGGAGGAAACTCTCAGCACATTTTCAGTGGCATGTATCCGCAATCTCATTCTTTCGGTCACTACTCAAAGCTCCTCGCCATAGGCGAGGGTCAGAATGAAGATTGACTGGTAAATCACGCTCCAAGTTTAAGTACCTTGTGGTCTTGTTCATGAGTGAGAATTTTTAGGACGTTATATAAAAATATTGCAGGTCTTCGGAGCAGGCTGTTTTGTTTATGACTACTGGTGAAGTGACAAGTAACTTGTTATTACAATTACAAGCCAAAGGACTGAAACTCAAAATCCTGGACATTATTATAGATATCTCTAATGATGTCAAAGAGAATCTGATACATACAATTACAATACAGAGTCGTATTAAATTACAAGCATTACAGCAGTGAATTGCCCTCTGCAAGCACTTACACATTATTATGCCTGAATTTTCATCCATGTCACTGCAACTCAAGCCCGACAAGTCGATCCCCATAGGATCAATTTGATTCAGCTTACATAACAACCACAGTTCTCTGGCTGTTGTTGATGTTTCTGGGTCTCTCCCGCCAGCATAATGCGCTTGTATTTTCCACACAGAAAGAGGCTGTTGGTATTTGATAAACATTTGCAATGTTTAGGATGTCCTCAATCCTTGACGGTGAAGCTCCCTCCCTTTCCCCACCAGTGAATGTTTCACGGTACCAAGACAAAGTTGCCCATGAATTGTGACTGGAGATGAAAGAGATGCATTTTATTGGCTTCAACACCTGAATTTGTACTTTTCTTGTGTCTTCGACTAAAAGAAAAAATGGATCCAACAATAGAATTGTGTTATTGGTCTAATTCGCATTTTACTGCCCCATAACAAAAGAGAAGCATAGTGGAAGACTTACTGTTTATGGAAGACAAAAACCCACAATTACTGTTAGTCTTAGATTCTTTAATAATAAAGGGCAATTTGTCATTAAAGATAAATGAAACTGAGGTAAGACTATTTACCTGTCTGTCCATCTATTTCCCACAATACAATGTATGACAACACTGACTGCAGACAAATGTGGGGATACTAATTTGTCTGTCATTCATTCATTATCTTGGAATAGTGATCCCACTTTGAATTAAACCTCATGGTGAGATGTCGTTCTAATCTGGCATTTCAAAAATGATTTGGTTGCTTTATCATGATAGATGTGCACATGTTCACTGCAAAAGACCAAGTAATAAAAACTAAACATGTGACGATAACCTCTGAGGTTTTCTCCATTGATAAGCTGTGGCCCATTTCAGGGGATGCCTTGTTCAATGTCTGTAACGCCCAAATCACCAATTTTATTTAATAAAAGCTCCGCTAATCAATTATTTCATATGAACAATGGATGAAATTACTGTATAATGTGAAAAGGATCACCTGTAATCACCTGACTCGGCTGGTGTTTTTTTGTTCTTCAGCTCATTGTTTTGGTTTTTACAGTCTGCAGCTTTAATGTCTTGTGGCTCTCATCAGTCCTGTTTCCAAACAGAGCAGGCAGCTGTTTTCAGTGGAAAAGCTCTCATAAACCCATAGAAACCTACCTGCCAAACAGCAGACAGAGAAACTTATGGGCTAGCTAGTGAACATAGTTGAACAGAAACGGCAACCCCTAGGACTGAAAAATGAAGTCTAAAAACTATAGTTCTTTGAATGACCACTTGAGGCTAGCTCCAAAAGTGAGTCAATCCCCATAGACTCCTATGTTAAAATGCGCAACTTTACAGCAGAATTAAACACGTTTACAGCCTGGTACAAAAAACAGTTTTAGTCTCTAAAGCTAATTGTACGGGGAGTGAGTATTTATATAACTCACCTGTTTCAATTTATCAACACACACGCCCCACCTCTTTGCCAATGTTTTGATTAGCTGGGAGTTAGACGGACTCAGACACTGCCAAGATGGTGACGGTGGGGCAGCCCACTCTGAGTTTCACAACCGCTCTTCAGAAACCTATGGATGACGTCACGATGGCTACGGTCATCTTTATTTACAGTCTGTCGTGGAACATTTAGGGCTAGCAACACATCTCCTAATGAATGCTAATGTTGCTCCATGTCTGCTGGATATTTAAGAGGCAAATGTTTTCTAGCATTAGTCATGTCTACTAATGTCTCATAAACTGTATGTTGTTTTCTTGAAAGCAATACTCCTAAGTGGCTCCAAATGCAATGTCAGGAGAGCTTTGTTTCTTCTTAAGCTTAAAACTGATGATAAAAAACTGTCTTCTATATTTTTGATAAATAACAATACTAATAAACAACTTTTTATTCTCGGTTCCTGATGAATGCTGTGATACCGTATGACACTCAAACGTATCTGTTGTCTGCTCAATATACTGCAATCCTGTGTTTTAGACAGAACATAACTGTCATCTATGCTCATGCTCAAGGTCAGAGATGTTATCAGAGGTAAAATTAATTAAACTTTAATTTTGGTTCATTAGAAGTCTTTACGCTGCTATAAAAATCACTGCAGAAAAAGAAGAGACAACATAATTTGACATTCAGACCCTGTGACATTTATTTTCTCCTGTCATTAGTCTTTAATCACTCTCAAAAGCAACTTTTGTCAGCTAGGGTTTAAGAGTCAGCAGATCTTATACTAAAAAGCAGAATGAGCAGTAAAGGATCCAGGTGGGAGGTTTGTAAGTTAGAGTTGTAGTATGAGGGGAAACGGGCAAAGTAAAACGCCACACCCTGTCTGAAGACTGATATCTTTGGCAACAATTCACAAGTCTCCTGTCGAGGCCCTGAATCACTCTCCTTGTTTCAGCTTGTAGCGGCAATG